TATTTACCAAATTAGTGGAATAATATATATTTATATTTCGTGAAGGGCCATGATAAAGTAAAAGAAAAATCTTGAATCGGGCTTTTGGGGCAAAATGTTTTTTTTCCAACTAAGTGAAAAGAATATTATTTTATCAAAGTCCATTCGGCATCTACGTAATAAATTTTGATCTTGTATTTATCAAAATAAATAAATAAATAAATAAATTTTGATCTTGTTGATAAGAGGAAATTATAAATGGATAAATCACAATTGGAGATAAAATAAAAAGTAGATCAAGTTTAATATAAGATCGATAAAAGAGAGGTAGTAAGCATTTCACACGAACAACCGTTAAGGAAACAGATTTTGACAAATTTCTTTGGTTGACTGTTTCAGAGAATTGAACACGTTTTTATCTACTCTTGCATAAATTACGTTTATTCTCCAAGATGTCGTGGTTGGAACATTAGAACAAGTGGTGGGCATTCCCTCAATTCTTTTTGATTGACTTGTTGGTTGTCAGATCTGAGCAAACCAAAACAAGAAGCAAGAAACAGAAAGAAAAGAGAACAAAGCCCACCAACGAGGCCACAAAAGAATCGACAGACCATCTAAAGTGGTCACCAAACATAGGAGCATGGTTGATCGACACCACCATGCTTGAGAAGCCCTCCAGTTGCTCACGCATCAAAAACTCGAGGAAACCCGGAGGCTTCCGAGCACCTAAAAAGGGGATGAAAATTAGAGAAGTTTTGAGGCAGATGTTGGAGAGTTCTAGAGGAGAGAGAGAGAGAGACTGCTTTCGTAGGGCAAAGTGATTTATCCACAAGTCTTTAGTCGACTGTCTTAGAGAATTTGACACCTTTCTATCTACTCTTGCATAAATTACATCTATTCTCCAGAATGTCATGGTTGGAACATTAGAACAAGTGGCGAGCATCCCCTGAATTCTTTTTTATTGGCTTGTTGGTTGCCAGATTTGAGCAATCCAAAACAAGAAACAAGAAACAGAAAGAAAAGAGAACAAAGGCCACCAACGAGGCCACAAAAGAACCGACGGACCATCTAAAGTGGTCACTAGACAGGAGCATGGTTGACTGGCTCCACCATGCTTGATAAGCCCTCCAGCTGCTCACACATCAAAAACTCGAGGAAGCCTGGTTCCAAGCACCTAAAAAGGGGATGAAAACTGGAGAAGTTTTGAGGTAGATGTTGGAGAGAGAGAGGCCGCTTTCTTAGAGTAAAGTGGTTTATCCGCAAGTCTTAAGGCACTTGGATTAGTTGATTGGGTTTTGAGTTTCATTAATGCCATGAAAAATTTCTTTCTCTTAATACCTCAAAATTGTAAACTGTTAAAAAAAAATAAAAGAAAAATCTTGAAATTAAAATTTAAAATATGA